AGGGAAAGCACAGGGTGAGCTTGGTTTATCATGACATCGGGCTTTATCTGCAGAGATTGTTTTCTTCTGGCTTTGTTTGAAATGGGCTGGAATCAACCAAATATATCTGGATCTATGTAGATGACTGTTCTAGCCAAGTGAATATGGTTAACATTGAAAATTATCTGAGCATCTCTGATACCTTGTAAGTTACATATGATTTCCTTTACAAGCAAAAGACCTAAAAAAAAAAAAAAAAAGTTCCTTTTACTCAGTTTCAGCTACCTTTTATATGTGATTAGAACAACTCCGTGCATGACACTTTGCACTTGAACAGAAATAAAGTAAATACTTACAGGAAAGGCAGAATTTTTAGGAGGAAGGAGTAAAGGTAGTATAAAATCTTAGGCTACTTTAAATGAATTTTTACTTTTTAAGACTGTTTTGAAGTGATTTTGGCTCTGAAGTTTTATACTTCAGGATGGAGAACCTTGTTTTGGTACTTTCACTGAGAATATTCTCTCTTTTACTGGTGGACTGACATGCTGTAGTAAATCCTGCAAGTTAAACTTGTCCTACAGTGGAAATGCATCTGGATTTGCTGTGTTTGTAGCTGAATGTTCAGATGCTCTGTGTGTTTGTGCTAGGATCTATTATGTCTTTAGTAATAACGTACTGTACAGAAATATAAGTAGCTTAATGAATGTAGTTTGCCAGTAAGTCTGTGTGTTTTGGCTGTGCTGAAGCACAGCTAAATGCCTCAAACACATCTTAGATGTACTTAAGTTAGGCAGCTAATTGGTAGTTTGAACCCTTTTAAACTTGTAAAGTGATTTAATGGGAAAAGGTCAATTGAGCATTTAAATATAATTATGAATCTTATTTTCCAATGGAAGTCAAATAAAAATCCTACATCTGAAGGTGTACTTACACACTCATTAAACTTGCTTCCTTTTTTATTCTCTCCCTCCCCATTTTACCTTTGTGCTATGTTGGCCAAGGGAGAACTTCTTGAGATTTAGTTCTGTCTTGCTCTTCAAGCTCTCATTTCCTTAGCAAAAAGTCTGGCAACTATTCTATTTCCTGCCACGTCTGGTTGATCAGAAATTGAGGGACTTAGTGATGGAAATCTGATTTATTAACTAGCCCTGTCTATGCTAAGTGGAAGTAGTAGCTATTTGGACTGGCTAGCTTCAAATTCTCTTGAATTTTTGTCTGAATGGCACGGAGGGGGCAATGAGGGAACAGGAGGACTTGGGCAGGAGAGGGCAATGGAGAGACTGAAAGTTTGTATTGATTGAACAAGTGAAGATCTGAGGGAAGTAAACTTTGCTTGTAGTATCATGAAAGAGAAATGCTGGCATGTATGCTTCTGTAGTACCCTATTCTTCTGAGAGCATTCATTTTTGTAAGCTTTGAATATGTTATTCGAAACAGATAAGCTAGCAAACTTCAAGAAAACCAAAGAATTTTTTTGGAAAACATGGTTCTTGTAGGAGGAAGCGTCAAGTAGGACATTATTTTTGAGTATTTTCTCCCTTTTCTTACTTTATTCTTCCTCAGAAATGCTCTTTTATATTTTAATTGTGTGAAATAGTCCTGAGAGAACAGTGGGAAGAATGAACTCAAGCAGTATAAACATTCTGCTATGTCCTGTCTGGTTTTGAAATGAGGGGCAACTTGGGTAATGCAAAATGCCGACTGTTGATGTAAATAGAAATACCTGCTTTGGCTTTTCCCTGAGTTGTTTAATGGTTGCATTTGGCTACCTGAATGATAAGGATAAAGTTGGTGAAATTGCATCTTGGAACATTAAGATGTTCGCAGTATGAACAGGCTGTACTGAAAGCGAAGAACTTAATTTCTACTTTTTTTAATATATCTGCTTATGTATTTAACTGCTGGTGTTAATGACAAAATGCTTCTACTTTTTTGCTCTCTTCTTAATGAAGAACCATTACAGTAAGAAATGAGATGAATATTTTCTACCTCTAACAATTATGCTGATGCAAAAATCCTAATTTCATAAATATTTATTTGCCAGATGTAAGACAGTAATTGAAAGGCATTATAGGGAACCTGTTTGGTTTGCAGAGATTTTGTTCTTGGCTGGGAAAGGTGGTTTTCTTCTTTCTCTAAACGGTGTATAGTTATGACAGTGTAAAGAAATTGTAAACGGTGTTTTTTATGGATGCTTGCATATGACAGGTATGTGTTTAGTTGCTTCTCAGACCATTTTAATTTTCTTGTATTCCAGATGTTTGCATTAGTTGCAGTGTTTAAATATGGAAACTTTACGATAAAGCTGTTAATCTGGGAAGTCACTGTGTTAAACCATAAAGAACCTGGGGATGTAATGCTTACTTCAAAGAAAGCAATTGCATGCCTATGTGGAAGTCTCATAGCACTTGACAGCTTTTGTTTGCCCTAAAATGTGTGTCCTGGAGCATTGTGCAGACTGACATTTGGAGGGGGTTAAGTGAGTGGTGTTACCGTATTGTTTTTCAAACCATGACTTGCAGTGAGTCAGCATTTCCAGCAAGGAACGAATGTTGTACTGTACTAATTTCTGCCTGTTATAGATTTAGAATAAGTTTAAACGACTTGTTTGATTGCCTTTTGTGTGTATTTGATCTTTCACGAATTTTATCACTGTTCCTCCTCCTCCACCTGGGGTGGGGGGAACAGAATAAAGTACAGTCTCACTAAAGGTCTTAGTATCATAACAGACTGATTTAAAAGGAACATCTCTTACGTTTGCACCATTTTGTAATGCTGCTGTAGCAGTGCTGGAGGTAATTTCAGTTTTTTTCCTTGTCAAATATTCTTCCTGTCTTGTCCTCAACAAGATTGAAGAGATGTCATTTCTTCCAGAGCAAGAGAAATTGGAGAGGAGAGGAATGAGCTGTGATTCTCTGAGGACAGAAGTTGGTAGGCTAGTAGCAGCTTTTTTTTTTTCTTTACTAGATCAGTTTGGCAAAATGAAAAGCCCAGAAGTTACAGACATGCTTAGAAAAAGCAACTGTTTTTTAACAGCCTGAGAGTGGTTATACTCAGTTGTTTCTGATTTCTCACTAGTGGTTTAAGTCTGTACTTAGTGGTACTTCCTTTTTGTCCCTGCCTCTTGACCACAGGATGCTTTTGGACTAATGAACTATGAAAAGGCAAGCCTGTTTTTAGCAAATGACCTTCATTAAAGCTGACGAAAAACTTACTGCCCAATTAATTGTTGCTGTTGTTCAAAGTTGATGTGACAGATCAGTTGAGTAAAACACAAATGTTAAATTTTACTGTCTTTTTCATAGAGCGGTATGCTCATCTAGAATGAATATATTCATTTCTGCTCTGAAACATTTTTCTAAAATCTTTGACTGTAAGCTTTAACTTGCCACATAAGTGTTTATTTTTGTTGTTATTTTCAGGGTGTTCAAGAAGCCTCCCTGCCCCTCATGCTTTGTTTAAATTAGTTCTTCCCTACCCTCCCCAGGATCTCCCTAAATGTAAAAAGGTAGCTTTTAAAGAAGTGTTCTTCTGTACAGTCTCTGAAAACTAGACACAATTATTAACTATGAAAAACCTCTCTTCTTAGAGTACTACAGAATTAGCCTAAATTCACTCCCATGTGAGTCATCTAGATAAATAAGAGACTTAAAAAAAACAACAACAAAAAAGCCAGCTGTTGTTTAGACCTAGCCTCTTCATTTGCCATGAGATGCCAGCAATTAGCCTGCAGGCCATGTGTGCCTAGGTAGTCTAAAGTCTATTCAGTGCTCATGACTGGTGCCATTGAATGTACTAAAACCCTCCAGTAGGGCAGATTTGTGCTTCCTCTCAGAGAGAGAGGAGGTATGGATTAATACAGTGGAAGAGTTTCTTGACTACCTGCACTCTTCGGAGTCTAGGAAGTGTCATGTGGTAATGAGTGACAAACAAGGGATGGGTAATTCCAAACATCAAAATAAAATATTTTCTGTACTACTGGGGATCTTCTCTTGTAGAAGAGA